AGAGTGTGAACTGCCCCACTTTGTCGAGGAATGCTTTACAAGTTCTGTTTTTGTGCAATCCTATGATGCTTTTCTAGCTGTGACGGATTGGGCATCAATTTCCTGGGCAATTGCGGGGTAGAGACTTCATCAGCTGCTTTATTCAAAGCAGTCTGAGTGCTAATTCATTTTAATTACCTGGGATTCAAGCATCTGTGCACAGAACACGCTGCATCAGAATGGCCGCCCGATCAAGCTTTGTTGGAAAAATGCTGCCTGCCATAAAACCCGTGTTCCTAGAAGCCATGTGCCATCACGTGGGTTATTGCCCTCGCGGCACGCCAGGTGGCATTGAACCTCAAGTTGGGCCGCTGGCGCACTCCTTTGCCGAACTGATCTCCGATGGGGCACCTGGGCCTAAGAGTTGAAGTGGTGCTAACTTGTGGCTGTCAGTGGCTTAAGGTCCCTGCAACCAGTGCAGAGCAGCTTCGCCGTGGAGCTTTGGATGAAGCCGGCGGCGCCTCAGGGTTGGCCAAGTCTAGCGACAACAATGCTTCACGGAACGCGTTTCGGATGATACACAGGTGGGGGATTAGCTGGAAAGTGGGCTTGGATCATTTTGACTTCCAAGATCCTGAGGGAAATACTACGACATTTCCTTACTTGAGTCCCCACAAACTGTTAGAGTATTTTGTGGCTCGTCACCCAGAAGTTGTACTTGGTGGCTTTTCAAGCGTGGCTGCAGGGTCTGCAGCTGTGGCCGCGTTTTGGCGCGCCTACAAACCACTGCATCCAGGGCACCGCGTTTATTCTGAGCATGGGTCTACGCTTCCGTATGTCCTGCCCATTGCCGTTCATGGAGACGAGGGAAGAGGGAAACGGCGGGCAAACACCAGCATCATCAGTATTGAGGCCATTTTAGGGATTTTCTCAGCTATTCACCATCGAGAGGACAAGCTTTGCAGCGCGTGTCAGCCAGAGAAAAACATCAATGCGAGGCAGCCGTGCGAACCCTCACTTGCAAGCTACTTGCAAACCACCCGCAAGGGCCACAGCTTTCTGCAACACTGGCCAGTGTTTGTTATTTCGAGTACTCACAAGTACAACAAGGACATTGTCAAAATGGCAATGGGCATTTTGGCTGATGAGCTGCGAAGGCTTTTCTACGAAGGCTTCCAAGCACACGGCCGATGCTGGAACATAGCCCTTGTTGGACACAAGGCTGACTTGAAGTGGGTATCGCTTGTGGCTTGCCTTACGAGAGGGTATGAGAACAAGGGCCAACGCCGAGACCTCCCTTGCTGCCATCAGTGTGGAGCCGGGGCGCCACGCTTGCCGTACGAAGATTTGACTGAGAACCCTGTCTGGCTTCCAACCTGCAACTTCGAACGGCCATGGTCTCAAGACAATGTGCCAGCCCTGTGCAGGGTCCCATTTGACAACAGCAAGCCTGAGTGGCTGTATCGCCACGACCCTTTCCATACCTGCAAGCTAGGATGCTTCCGAGATTTTCTGGGGTCGACGATTATGCTTCTTATCAAATGGTCGTATTTTGAGGAACACGGAGATTTGTCTTTGAAACTGGGAAGAGCGCATGGCCACTTCGCTTTATTTTGCTCAACTCAAAAGCTGTCTCCCGCGCTGAGATCCTTTACGAAGAACCTCTTTGTGTACAAAAGTGCACGTTCCTTCCCATGGATGAATGTCAAAGGATCTGACGCAATGATTTTGCTCAAGTGGGTCGTGACTTTGCTGGTTGGATGCCAAGCTGACATACGAGACCCAAGCCACGCATTCCCTCTTTCAGTCATGCTGGCAACTGGCCGAGCAGCCCTTGCTTTTTTCGACCTTCTCTACACCCATTCAATGTTCTTGCCCAGACCTTGTGGAGCTCTTGTGTACGAAAAGGGGACGGCGTTTCTTACTGGCTATTGCATCCTGGCGCAGCATTGCTTCTCAATTTCCTTCTGTGGATACGCTGTCAAGCCGAAGGCCCACTTTCTGAAACACATCCTCGTGGAGATGAAGCTGCAGTTGGACTCTTTCTCTCCCTACATAATGAACCCCGAAACATGGAATTGCGAAATGAACGAGGACCACATTGGTCGCTTATGTCGGCTTTCAAGGAGGCTTGATAGCAGGGTGATGCCAAAGAGGGTCCTGCAATGCTTTTTAATCAAGGGAGCATTGCTCCTCAAAAGGTTCAAAGCAACTCACCACCTTTGAGTCCCAGGCGCATCAGGCATGCATCCCACCGGGCGGCTAATTGCTTCAGACGTCAAGTCGGCAAATGTTTCTGCAGAAAACCACTCACTTGTTTGGTTGGATTGTTGGTGGATGTTGCTTGACTGCTTGGGCACCTGGAAGATTGTCGTGCGGACGAGCGAGGTGCAAACAGCTGGCTTGGGCCGGGGGGGAGCGGGGAACAACCCTCGAGAGCACTTTTGGCATGAAACGCGAGTTTTGGTTTGAAACGTCTGAAATTTCTGCTGTTTCATGAAACGGCACAAATTCAGCGCAACGGATCTTCTAGGTATCACAAATGTGGGTACCGAATGCGTCCGTGCAGGACTCCAGCGCGTTCTGCAGCTGGCCCAGTGGGCAGGTAGCATCAAGGTTGATGTGTTGGCGAGGCCCCTGGGACCATGTCAGCGTGTTGGGGAGGCAGTGGATGTGTGGATAGAACCTCAGAAGATGGATTGACAGAAACCCGATGGGCCATCTTTTTGGCGGATTCCTAAAGCAAAACACCGAATGCCACGGAAAGAAAGGGCACCCATTTAGCTGTTGTTTCGCCAAAATTGCTTAAGACTCCACCCCAAGTGGAGTGAGATTTGGGAAACCCTTGCCCCAAAACTTACAAAAGGGGAACAAACGAATGCCTCTGAGCGCCGGGAAGCCTGGGCTCATTGCACCGGAACTCTTTGCCGCCGCAGTAGTCCTTTCGGAAATCCATCATTTCCTCAGTCCAACGGCCAAAAAGTAGACGTTGATGTTTGGTGTTGCTTGGGAAACCACCCCGCCACCCCCCCCAAGCAAGAAAAAAACAACAACACAAGGCTAAGGGCTTTGCACCACCGCCCCCCCCCCCCCCCACAAAAATAAAAATAACATAAAATAAAATCCAAGCTTTTTGTCCGCAAAAGGTGAGTTTCAACTCCATCATGGAGCCTGGAGCCCCTGCCCGGGACCCAACACTGCGCATACGATTTCCAGAACGGACATCAAATAACCAACGCAAGCAGCCACGCAATAAACCAAACCCAGAAATAAGCAAGCACAAGCAAAGCACAAGCAAAGCACAAGGGCAAACCACAAATTTGGACTCATTATTTGAGTGTCATTTTTGGGGCGCCCAAAAACGGGGTCAGCCTGAAAGGGCAAAACAAATGAAAGCGACCTGCACTGAGGTTCGGAAGAACCTGCGCTCTGGTGCCGCATAGCGTATGCACTGCCGGCACCCAGCGCCAGCCAAAGCGCAAGCGTCCGAGCCATCAGACGTGAGTAATGAATTGGGCAAACCACTGAGCACTTGAGGCTGCAACATGTGCGTTGACTTGTCACATCAGGTCATGTATGCCATTTGGATACAAGCTTTTCACACATGTATGTTCATGTAAGCAATATGTATGTTCCCCCCTCCTTGCCAGGGCCTACCTTTCCTCTCTTCTAGTTGAAGGTGTCAACTCAACCGGAACAAAAAACACATGAAAGCCAAACGATTTTGTGATGCAGCATTCCAGAAACACTCGTAGGGGGGGGTTATCAACAATATGGCCATTATTGGCATCCGCGGCATCCCCTTTTGAAGGGGGCAGGTGCTTGAGTGTTCCCATATGTTCCCATAGGGCTTTTGGTGTGGCGAGAATCGAGCAGAAACCAATAGTTGAACAACTGACGATGCTGCGGCTGTTGAGCATAAGCCTTGCCACAACCTGCGGCCAGCAAAATCCAACCACTTCACTCGATGCAAGCCTAAGTGACCCCCGCAAAGGCAAGGCACACCATGCGTAGTGGCGTACCCTCCCTCCCCACGAACATGGCACCTCACAGAGGGTCCCTTGAAGAGCAAAGTGGGAGGAGGGGTAGTTCATGACTGCTTCTAGGTCCTCCAATAGGAGGTTCGAATAAGGGTGCCAACTTTTTTTCTGTAGTCCATTTTAGTACGGTGGAGAAGGGCCCAACTGGGGGACCTAGGCTTGGGCATCTGGCAAGTTGTGGCTGTGGCTCAACAAAAACGGTACCAAAATGGAACCCTGGTAAGTGGAAACATGGACCAAAACCTGCGTAACCCCTCCTGTTTAATTTTGAGCCAAACCCTTGTGAGCCATTTGAGCGACACATTCGGAGCTGCCCGCCTTGGACAGTGATTTCCGCGGGCTGCTTGAATGGCGAGCGCCGCGCGGATCACTTGTCGGCGTCAATGGGTCAAGTCTCCACGTTAGAAAGTGGATCTGAGACAAACTCCCGCGAGCTGACAGAAGTACCTTAAGCCGAAAGCTGCCACATGCCAATAACTTCCAGGATTTGATGTGGTGACAGCATGGTGTCCACCATTTTGGGCAAAAGAAGCAGGAATTTCAGCCCTAGGGCAAAAGCAGACTGACATCCTTCAAAGGCTTCCTGCAGGGCCTAGGGTGGTGGTGTGATCCACCAAAGCGGGATCGAATTTCCCTGTAGCTGGTTCGTTCGTTGGATGACTATTTTCTTAGCCAATGCCAGGCCGTACATTGCCAGTTCAACTGAGACAGGTTCTTCGCGTACAAGCAAAGAGCGCCTAGATATTTGCAGCCCTAGGTTGCAGTGCTTTCTTTTGGCTTCTCTTTACAGTAGCCACCAGGAACGGGATTCTTATACGGATCAAAATCAAACCACCAGGGGACTACAGGACTTAGTCCTTGGTTGCATTTCAAATTTCCCGGGGTTTTGGGAACCAATTTTTGATCCACAGCCATTTGGGGAGGGGAGGGGCCCTGGGCCCCCCAAATTTTGACAAAACACTCAATCGCCAACCGCCGAACCTCTGGATGTAAGCGCCAGCACATGGCTCCCAGCCTGCAACCGTCCAATTCAAGGAAACGCTTTGGATGCGGCGAATATGTGGATCGACCAACCTGTAGGGTGCTTAAACAGAGTCTTTTTTTTGTTTAATGTTAATAGCAAAACAAAAACTGCAGAGGAAAAACAGGTGAAATCCACCACAAAGCAAAGCCAAGACCAATACTTGGCTTCCCACAGCCTCTGTTTCTGTAAGAGTTCTAGTAAGTTGCGATGGGTTTGCAGGCCTTTTCTTTCCCCAGTGCCCAGGATAAGCCTTTCGCAGACAAAGAATCTTGGCGGTGTCCCAACAGAAGGGGAATGGAGAATCAAACGTCTCTAGAAATATGGGTGGATCCTAAGCTGAAAACAGGGATTCTCATGAGTTCAACTTTCATGGCAGGGATCCCAACTTCTCTTTTAAGGTAAAAAAAAAAAACCCTGCCAATCTGCCTGCACCGCCACCAGCAGCAGGGATCATAAGAGTCCTCTCGTGCAATTCCCTTTGTCCTGTGGGCAGTCCCAATCACAATCGTCTTCCTTGCAAGGGTTGGCTAAACGATGCTTCGTGCGAACAGCCACAGTGGCTAAGTTGTGACCATCTCACGGCCCTAAACATAGACACATGGCGAACTTCATGGGGACAAGTGATTGAAACCCGCAACCAAAGAGGCACCAGCCACGACAGTGGCTGCGTGAAATGGAATGAACTCATCCGCGGAATGAGCTCATTCGCTTTGTGCAACCCAAGCAGCCACACAACCCAACAACGAAACCAGCCAGCCGAGCAGCCAAAAGCACCAGAGACACCGACGCCACTGACTGAACTTGACTCTCACAGGGTACCTAGTAGTTTCGAGGATCCGCTTTTTGTTTTGCAAATTAAACGTACATCTCCTTTTGCGTCAAGCAGGAAGTATGGACCTACACCTCCAGCAGCCAAGGATAGAAAGGGAACCCCATGTTTCGCTGGGTTTCAGAGGATACCCTAGACTTACTTGCTCAAAGGATCTGGAAATACAAGGTTGCGCTTTTTGTGACCTCTACTAAAACTGCACCAATTAAAACCAAAAAGGTGACAAGGTCGGTTTTTAACCACTGACTCAAAGAAAGGGATGCCATGGCACCAACTCTCCAGTCGTCGCCCTCCCCAGCCAAGCGGGGAAATAAAAATAACGGCGCGCCCCGGCGCCGAGGTCGAGGACAGTGCCCTTCTGGCGCAAGCAAAGCTCCAGTGCGTGCCGCTCCTTCCGGGCAACCACTCGCTGTGGGACTTTGCCATGGACAGGTCCCTTCTCTCCAAGCTTCCCTCTTTTGGGCGGGGCAGGTGCCTAAAGAAAGTTGACCATCAGCTTCCCTCTTTTTGGTGCTTTGGATTGGAAATTTGGATTGGTGGTTTGGTCAAGGACGGGGGTTCCCGTTTACACTCTACAAGAACCACAAACCACCCATCTAAACCACTAACTTAATTGGGGATGCCAAATGCCAGGTATCGCACAAGCGAAATGGTAGGAAGGGTCGTTTGCACGGCCTGTGAACATTCCAGGCCCCTTTAAAACTGCTTAGGATACCCTCTATGGAACCTCGGCTTTTCCCTTGCCGACATGTGCCCTTGTCGTTAAACAAGTCTTATATAGAGTAAACTGTTTGTGAACCAACACGGGAAAGCCCAAACTCAACAAGTGACCAGAGTCCAGGAGTCCAGAACCTCAGGACTTGGTTGACGTAGTTTTTAACAGTTAAGTGGGGATTTCCCACTCAACCACAATAAGCAAAAATGTAAAATGATTTTAGTTCTATTTTTTGTGTTAAGTGGGGACTTCCCATTAAACGCCAACAAGCAAAAATGAAACATGTCTCCCAAGAACCGTGAGGAAGTGACCTAGCCAACACATGCGAACCCCCCCCCCCGCCCAGTCCAGCGCCGGCATCTCCGAGGGGCGCCGGAAGAAGATGGCCTGACCACGCAGGCCGCCCGCGAGGGAACAAAGGCCTACCCACCCTGCGCTCGCTGGAAAACTCAGGTGGTCAACTTTTGCGATCTTGACTCGGTTGCTTTCTGCTCCCCTGCTAAAAGTTTAACTTTCAGTTGTTTAGTGGAAAACCCATGAGTTGGCAAAAAGTTAAAGTCCTAACATCCCTTGGCAAAATGCACCAAAGTTAAGATACTGTGGATGGTTGCGCAATCCGCTTCTCGCACCACCGTTCAGAAACCCAAGGGAATGATGACCGATTCACTAACGCAAAGACCAACAAGCAATGGTTTCAACCATGGTTTCAAAGTGGTGCGAAGTGGATTTCGCAACCATTCACAGTATCTCAGTACAACCACCAGGTACACCCTACCACCACCACCACCACCACCATCGCCGCCGCCAACGCCGCCAAGCATCACCAACGACATGACAACTCACGCAACAGGAGAATCGAAGGCATGATGATTGTTTTCCGCCTCTTCCTTCCTCCCCCTCTGAGAAACAGAGCCATGAACAACAAGCCAAGTCAAAGGCATAGTGTCAGATTGGATTGCAAAACCTTGCGCGTTTCGGGCTGAACACCAAACCGGGAGTCTTCAATCAGCTCGGGAGCCCACGGAGGTTACCTTCGGATTGGGGCACCCATGGTGCGAACTCATGTTGAATCCAACATGCCGAAAACAATATCCAAACCCGGTAAGTACGGGTTATTGAGTAGCCTGCACTGTTGCCCTTGTACAGGCCACTGAACCTGGATGTTTCCGTAACGAAGCGCTACTCACTCGTGCCTCTTGTGCAAAAGAGCTGGAAATATACGATGATCACCTTTTGAGACCGAAAAATATATCTTAAACCAAATCAGGGACACCACATGGTGACTGAAAGCTCGGTTTCGATCCTGGCGCTTGGTGTAGTTCTCTTGGTTGCTATGCAAAAAATGATCTCTCTTTCTGTTGGTCTCATTCGGAACCAACTAAAGAGTTCAACCAAAATAGTCAATTTTTGAAGATCAGTTATCCCATAGCCATCAAGTTGTTGGGTATTCCTTACCAGGCCGGAGCGCCGTCAAATCCACATCGGGACCCATGCGGCTGGCAAGGGTTCAGGCTCGCCGGGCCGCAGGTTCCTCGGAGCCAGGGGCGGGGAATCCCTGCGAGGATGTCTATCAAAGTGGCAGGTGACCCATTTGCGAGTGCCATAGCGGAGTCTGAGTTCCCAAGAGAACTGGAAACAAACTTTGGCTGTGGACACATAGGGTCATGGCTTCCTGTTTGCTATCATTCCAGATCTGGTCCAATCGCTTTAGCCGATGCTGAGTCATCACAAGGCGGGGAGGGATGATCCACCTCAGTATGGTTTTTGCCAGATCTGTTTCTTCTCTTGGGGGCGAGGCGGTATCCTCAACCCAAAACATACTCAACCCCCCTAAAACAGCTCCGACCTTAAGGCCACCCAATGTCCAAGCCTAAGTCAGACCTAAAAAACCTCGTCAAACACAGAAACTCCTTTCTCAGCTTTCGCTCTCAACAAACAATATCCTCGTTACTCTGTCTACCCTTGAAGTGAAGCATGACGTCAAGCGGGTTGCCAAACACAGTGATGCCTTCGAGCCTTCCACCTCTCGTGGTGCCCCGAATTGAAAAAGCCGCCGCCAAGCCACGACCAGTAAAGGAGCGGCTCCAGCTCTGGTTTCGACGCCTTCGGTGGTTCAAAGGCACTACCCTCCCACCAAACGTGCTAAGACCTCCGATTGAAAACTTGGAAGACGAGAGTCCTTCTCTGACGGGACCTGGAAATCAAAGGCTCACCTCTTGGGGCCACCCACCCATCCGCCCGCCCGCCTCCCCCCTGAAGAGAAAGTCTCTGCATGTCTCTGCAAAAAACTATACCTTCAAAACTCAAAAGCTCAACATCACACACACATAGAACATGTTCACCTGAAAATCACAGGAAGGGCCAGCCTCTGCGAGATCTTCAAAACAACTCAAAACAACACACACAGAACCTGTTCACCAGGACCACCCCCCCCTTGAGGGGGAGATTCCCATGTCTCACAGGAGTGGTTGGCTAAACCCGTCCTACTAGGGGTCTGAATCCCCACCAAAAGGAGACACCCCCCAATCAACATCAATCAGGGGTTTATCAGGGATCCTTACATTATACACCTGAACATTGCAACTTGTAAATTGTGGTTTCCCCTTATTTTGGTGTTGAAAAAGCAACATGTTGAACAACTGGTTGCAACATGAATTTCTTTTAAGGAGCCCTGTTTATTAATCCGGGGGTTCCCTCCAACAGTGGTCTGAATCCCCACTCAACGGAGACACCCCCCAATCAAAATCAACCAGGGGTTCTACTTAGATCCGGGTTTTTCCCATCAATCCCACCCTGACATAGGTGGCCTTTTGGAAAAATCGATGGGCTTCCAACTGGTAAATGGATCAAAACCCATCTAAACCCGTGGGACCCATCTATTTTTAACCAGGCTCACCGATCAAAAGGACACCTCTGCACCCCGAGGCCGATCCGATTCGGTCTCGAAACCCCCGGCCCTCCGCTCCCCGCTCCCCGCTCGCGCCTGGGCTTCTCTGCGCCAGTGCTGCAGAAGCGCCGCGCCCAAGGGGCCCCAGGCCTCGAAATGGGATCGAGAGAGCTACGTCGAGACCGAAAAGAGAGACTCTCTTGCCCAAAGGACCCAGAAATAAAAGGTGATCACCTTTTGGGGCCATGACTAAAACTAGACCAATAAGGAGAAACCAAAAGGTCAAAAGGTCGGCTTTGGGCAACAGAGGAGAGACCCAGCGACCGAGCCAGCGGGTTCTTCGAGGGGGGAAACTGGGAAACAAAAGGGAACACCAAAAAAGTGAAAAAAAAGGGGAATCAATTCTGGGGAAGGAAAGAGGTCGCCTTTTTTTGGGGAACCCCGCGTTTTGGTTGGTTTATGGTGTTGTTTTCTTCGGAAAGCCAAAAGGACAACTTGGTTGGTTGGTTGTGTGAAAGGAAGCGCATGTCTTTTTTGGAGGGTACCCTGGTTGGATGGTTTTAAGGGAAACCAAAAGGAAAACCGCCGCTTTGGTCTAGGTGAGAAAAAAAGGACACCCCGAAACAAAATGGGTCAAAAAAGGGGCCCCAAAAACTCATTTCTGTTTTGGAGACCAAACCTTTAAAACAAAAACGTCCCCAAAAGGGTACCCTCAAAAAACCGCACCAACATGCCACCACAACATCAGAAACCACTGCCTGGCAAAGGGATACAGGATTGACTTTGGAAAGGCAAGTGGTTCAAATGACATCCGAAAGGTGATCTACTTGCTTCGCGGAAGGCCTCGAAATCCGGATTCCCTTTTTCGTCTGGCCCCAGAGAGAGGGAATCCGCTTTTCGGGCCTGCCATTTCTGAAAAGTTAAAAGGAACAGGAAATCAGGAATAAACCGCTTCTGATATTTGTTGAGCTCATTGAGAGGCAACCCCAAACACGATGGAGGGCGCCATCGCATGCTCCCGAGTACCGCACAAAACCTGTGACTTGCGGGGGAGAGTCCTGGAGCAAGTCTCCACGTCTCAGCGCGTCACAGCTCCCAGGGTCACTGTTCGTCTGGACTCCGTTTTGGAGACAATAGGGGCCGCCTATCGAAATCACAACAAGTCGTGAAACGCAGATTTGCAAGCTTCCGCGACACTTCCAAACTGCATCCCAAAGCGGATGGCCATGTTTCTATGGCAAGGAACCATGTGCGCCTGTTTTGTCCTTACGGTCTGAAACGGCACGCTTGTCCTCTACGTGACTTCTGTTGTGCCCAAGTGGGAAAATACATGCTGCTTGCTCCGTTTGGCAAAGCCGAAACACATTGGCAATTGCACAGCCTGAGCGCATGTTTGCCACTGAACTGATCTTACCAGGAAGAACGGATAACGTCCAGAAACTTGGACGGTTGAACTCGCTTGCCCAAAGGACCCAGAAATTGATTGTTGTTGTTTTTGCGGCCATGACCAGAAATGGATCAAACAGGATCATTTCAAGTGGGTTCGCTTTGGTTGCAAGTGAGTGAATCGCCTCACAACCCCCCACCAACGGACTTTCACCGAAGTTCACCCCGGAAATTCGGCAGCCGGGCGTCGGGCTGGGCATCGCTGGGCCGAAAGCTGGGGCCTGCGATTCCAGACTGCGCGTGCGGAACAGCTCCGCTCGACCGAGGGGAAGCAGCGAAGATTGGAGAATCCTTGGGCTGGATGGTGTATCTATCTAGGCATGGTATACTCGTGCATGAACAAATCTCTCTGTATCTACCTATCTATCTATCTATCTATCTATCTATCTACGCATGGTACACCATTATCTCTCTGTACGGCCAAGCGTGTAGCCTACGCTTCAACCGAAAAGGGAACCTCAGCGACTGGGTTCATTCGAGTGATATCCCAAAAATACACTGCACAGGGCGGCCCAAAGGAAAGCCACCCCAAAGTACTTGTGCGATCTTGCGATCTTGTGCGATCATGGCCCACTTCCCGCCTGAGTGCTTTGGTGAGCAGGCGGCCGCGCGGCATTGGCAAAAAACATGTGGCTTGTAAGGGTCAAGAAAGCACCTGATGCTTTGGCCCATGGGTGCCCGAATTAGACTCCCGACTTTTGACAAGGGCAAACCAAATGGAACCCGGACATGGCAGCAATGTGGGGTGCACTCCTGCGCATCATCTCTGGCGTTCCGTGTTAATTCGTTGGCGCATGGCCGGACACCTGTTCGCTTCGAGTCGCGCCCTTGACTTCCAGTGCTTGAGTCTCAGTGCATGTAAGGCACGCAGGCACGCAGGGTCGCCTTAGGGAAAGCAGTTCCCGCCCTGCAAACAATCTCATGTTGACCCCGGAACAACCATATGAATAGAGTGGTGTTCCCCTCCAAAAGTGATGAACCCAACCATTTCAGTGGGGACACCCACTCAAAAGCAAGCATACGTTGCTCCGAGATTTTTGGAAACAAGAGGAACCCTCTTTGGTGGGGTAAAGCGCTCAGTGCGAAGGCATGCATGTCCACGCACCAGCATCCTTACCACTGCCCCAGAAGAACACTATCATGAGCTCAACTACCCCCAAGCCAACACTAGGGAGCCGGGGCCAAATCACCAACAAAACTTCCAGCCGTTGGCGGGAGCGTTGTTCTTGGGGCTTGTAGGTTGGCTTTCCAAGCCCGGGTGCCAGGACCCAGCCTTCCAGGAGAACCCTCACCCGAGTCAGCAACCCAAGACCCGAGAAAGCCTTGCGCTCTTTTTGCGCCTCGCGCAGGCGGCGCGTTCAGGACGCGCTCGGCACGCGGTTCGCGCGCGAGCCTTTCAGGTCCGGAGGCTGCCACATTGCAATGGCAGCAAAGAAGCAAAGCGAAACTCTGTAAGACTCACTGGCAACTTACAAGATGGTTTTGTGGTTGGTTTGCTTGCAGCACTTTTCGTTGGCATCCACTGCGGCAACCATAGCCAAACCAGCCAGAAAAATGAGGGGGGGGGAGTTGGAGAAAAATGGGCTCTGAACAATGTGGAAACTCGGCGGTTTTTTCGCAGTGCATCTCTGGTTGCGAAGGGACCAGTGAATGAACGGACAAAGCCAGGAGAAAAGGGTGAAAAGGAACAATTTGATGTTGGTTCCACCATGGAGGTATTGCCTGACCCCCTGAAACCAGGTAGTAGAACCACTTACAGAAATGGGTGACAACCTGAAACCACATCCCCTGTTGAGGCCCTCGGTCACTCGGCGAAGCTGCAGCCGGGTCAGGGGCTCGGACGTTGGAACTCCAACTTCCAGGGCTCCGGCAGCTCCGTCGCCTCGCGCCGGTGGGCGTGCGCAATCGAGCTGGGGAAGTGGGGCCCGGTGCAGGTGCGTGATTTGGAACCGCTACCTGGAAGGGCTTAAATGAAAAGATCCGTGATTGAACCAAGGACAAAGTCAAGGACTTGAGCCAAAATGGTTCCGAGGCAGTCATACAACCGAGTTCACAAGCCCGGCCGGAAGGGGAAGCTAACAGCACTTGGCACTATGACATCCCAGTTTTCCAAGAACAAGTTTGGACAACATAAGAAAAGTGGCCCACGAGTTTGGGCAGCCTGGAAAGCTGCGCGTAATCACTCGTTCAGTGCGGTTGACCCCTCTGCAACAAGTTGATCTCACTTCTTGTGGGTTCAATTTGGAAAACTTAAACGATTTCCACCAAACAAGTTAAAGTCTCAAGATCCTTTGCCCAACAGCAGTCAAGCTTTATAATGGACTGGGTGATTTATAGTGTGCATGGACGAAATCCTGCACCACGCAACCATGGGGAGCCAGGGCTGGTGGAATCATCATTCCAGGCTTTCTCAGGTGGTGCGACATGGATTTCGCAACCATCCACAATAGAGGATCCTTCACTTCTTGCGGACCTCACTTGCCCAAATTTGAGGTGGAAATGAAAGGTTCTGAACCCAAACCCAAAAATGGAACACTGAAAAGTCAACAGGTCGATTCGCCCTATAAACCACTGAGCTGAGGGGAACCTTTCGGCCCGCCCCGCCTGGTCGGTTAGGGTCTGTGTCAGGGCCGCTTGCAAAGAGCGCAGCTCTGCGAGCCTGGCCACCCCTTTTCCATCAGCTATGGGTCAAAGATAGGTACCCAAAATGGAACGCTGGTGAATGGAAACACGGACGAAAACCTGCGGTTCTCTGGTGGTTTAAGTTCGACCCATAGTTCACGGCCCGGTTTGGAGCTCCTGGCGTCTTGGGGCGGGGCCTGTTTTTTCAACAAATCCCAGAATGAAAAGAATGGCAAGAACATCCGGGCGTTCCGGAAATACAAAAAGGCGAAGGAAGGCAAAGTCAGAGCCAATGTAGCAGTGGCGTTACTGTTACATGGGCTCGCACGTTACAGTTTGCACGCAGCTGTGTTTCCGCGAAGCCTCTGCGAAGCCTCCACGAAGCACCACGGACCAAACATCATCATGCTCCACCCACTTCGAAATTTTGAAGGACCCACGCCTTCAATCTGGAGGCACAAGTCGTTCTTGGCAATTTGCTTGCTGTTTGTTGCCAATTACATCTTCCGCAACCATTCGGCCGGGCTGGCGGTAACGCTGGCGGAGGCAGAATTAGTGGCGACAGGCGACAGCGTACGTATTTCAGGTACCCCTTAGTTGGTGGTTTGGATTTGTGGCTTGGATTTGGATTTGAGACCTAGGTCCCCCGGTAGTGCCCTTTTACGTTTTTTGGGGACCCCTACTAAAATAGACTACGTGCAGAAAAAGGGATTCTACCTGGCTCACGCTCAAAGTCTCAGAGAGGGGAAGCTGGCCCTAAGTTTCAAGAATTTGAGGAAATCTGGGAGCCCCGTCCGACACAAGGGGCATTCATGTCTTTCTTGCTTTCTTTCTCCACGAGCCACTTAGCTCCGCAAGTCCCAGGTGTTTATGTGGCATGGAATTACGAAAGCATTGGTCTGCAATTGCAGGAATCGGTGTTGCACCGACATGGCGCCATCTTTGTGGTGCAATCTGGCCTGGCTTGGCAGGAGCTAGCGCAACGCAGTTACGCCCTGTGTTTACGGGGAAGGGGTCTGTCTCGGTGTTGCCATGTAAATAAGATGTCTTACACTACCTCCCAGCCCTGAGGCGCTGGCCCGGCCCTCACATATCTAAAACTCGCCACCATACTGACTCAGGGCCACACAACGGACATTGAAAGGTCATGGCCATGGGTCAAGATCCGAATCATACCCCCAGTGAACATCCCATTCCCCACTAGAATAGGTTCTAAAATGGGTGGAGCACCTACCCCAAAAATGGTACCATTGGCTTTGAACCATGGCTATGTCCCTAATACTCACTATTGGGCTACAGTGACTCTAAAGGCTTGCTATGGTCCTGAAGGAGTATATGATAACATGGACGTTAAGGAACAAATAAGCTTCTCACTCACAACAATGATGGAACCTAGCTCTGGATCAACCTGAAGGCCGTTCTCAGCATGCAATTGGTCACCTCCTGTCGGCTTCAAGTAGCGTACCTCTGGGCCCCCAAAAATGGCTGTGGCTCAAAAAACCGGTACCACAATGGAACCCGGCAAATGGAACCAAAGACTAAAACCCGCGTCACCCCCCCTGCTTAATCTTGAGCTTCCAGTGCTTGGGGTTCGGGTCGCCGGGGTTCCCCTGGCCCGACTCACATCCCGTAAGGCCGTAAGGAATATGGCCACCGCGAACGATCCCGTGGAGACTGCCCCAGCTTCGTGGGACACAGGCTGAGTAGACACCCCCCCTGCAACGGCCCGAACTCAATGGGAACATCGCTCTGTCCGCCAGGACCCGAAAACAAAAGCTTCACCTCTTAGGGCCACTACAAATGCCCAAAAGACCCGACAACAAAAGCTTCACCTCTTAGGGCCACGAATTTCTGAAAATGGTGGCCAACATGGGAAAACCAACGAGTGAAGAGGCTGGCGAGTGAGTCGCTTGGGTAAGCCTCTGCGCTTCGGGATCCCATCTCCCCAACCCCGAAGGCCTCGCGCACCCAATGGCCATGAGGGCCCCGGACAAGTTCGGAAAACAAGGCTCCCCCCGCCACCCGGGCACACCAGGTCTCAAGCGCGAAATCCCCCCCCCCCCGAAAAAAAAGAAACAAAATCGACGCACAACAAGCGGAGCGACGAGTCGAGAAACCTCTCGCCTCAGCTTCTCCGGCTCCGAGAGGGGCCCAAAAAGCTCCGAGGGGCTCTTCAGCGCCGATTTCCAGGACTTCCTCGCGCGACGACTAGGTCCTCCAGTGAAGAGTTTAGAATGAAGGTACCAACGTTTTTCTGTAGTCTATATTAAGGGGACCTCCAAAAAAAAAGAAACGGAAAAAGGGCACTACTGGGGGACCTAGAATGGGGAACGAGGAGCCCAGTTTTCTTCGGCGAGGGAACTCGAGCTCGGGTGGTTCATCCGCGGCGGACAGTTCCGGTTGGTTTTGGTGTGGAGCTTTGGTGGGTTTTTCCCGGCTTAGGTGAAGGTTGGAAAAAGATGGTGCTCAATAGGAGAGACTTGTAGCAGGAGTTTGTAAATTTCACTGGGTTGGCCCACTGACATAGTCATATTTTAGGCTGGTTGCAACTGAGTCTATACCAAAACTGGAAACACCCCCCCAAAAGGTTATAATCTTTTGGGTTGCCGTGAATGTTGAGCCCGGAACTAATCATGCTACCAGCACAATATGTTTTCTGGCTCCCCGCTCAATTCAGAAAGGATTTAAGAAAGGATAGTCCCTCCAACAACCCTCCCAAGCAAGGCTCTAAAATGTTATCAAACCGTTTCCCAGGTAAGCATCCCTTGTGTTTCCTTTATTCGGGAATCCCTGGGTTCATTCCCACATTCCCTATCTCTCACACCCATAAAAATACGTCCCGAATACGAACCCAATACGTTTTGGCCTCGGATCAGGGGGAGCAATGCGTAACACACTAATCCATGGTGTGGGTGGCAGATGGGGCTGGGCCAGAACATGTTTGTGCATTTTTGGTTAAACAAGCAACAAGGTGTTTTTGCTTCGCTGGGCAAACATCTGCCTGCTTGTGCTTCTATTGGGTCATTGTAGGTTGAGCATGCATTCATGTCCTGGTTGCCTCTGTGGTTCAGGAAGGATCCTGGTGGGTCCTGCTGAGAGGAAGTATCGGTGAGCATTTACATTGTGCTGATGTGTCAAAGTAGGACTCTCGGCCGACATACTGTTGACACGTGCCCGCATGCCATGCACGTAGGATCGTGTACGTAGGATCGTGTAGGTGACAGGTGTTATTGCTCTTTATGCGTCCTCTATGCATCTGATTAGGATTAAGTGACTATTGCGCAGATTTATGCATCTGCATTGCCGATCGTTTCATCTTGTCCCCCAATTGTCTTTAGCAGGATCGGGCTCTATACTGCCAACATCACCAGAGGCCACCAAAACGGACTTCCCAATAAAGAACTAAAGTCCATGGGTAGGGTACCCTCAAAAGCAGGGCTGCGGCAACTGGCCACTTCTGTGATGCAACAAAAAAACGGGCCCAGTGCATTGGGAAATGGGGTCTGAAATTCGCCACACGCTTCTAAGCTTCTAAGCCTCTAAGCCCCTTGAAGCACACAAGCCTCTGAGCCTCTAAGCCTCTAAGCTTGTAAGCCTTTGCAGTCCTTGCGCCTCTAGGCCTGCGCGCTCCTAAGCCTCTAAGCCTCTAAGCCTCCACGCCTTCCAGCCTCCACGCCCCTAAGCCTCTAAGCCTCCAAGCCTTCCAGCCTCCACGCCCCTAAGCCCCTAAGCCTCTAAGCCTCTAAGCCTCCAAACGCTTAGAGGCTTCGGCGCCTAGCAGCTTCGGCGCTTAGCGGCTTAGGCGCTTAGAGGCTTAGGCGCTTGGAGGCAAAGGCGCTAGAGGCTTAGGCGCTTAGAGGCTTAGGCGCTTAGCGCTTAGGCGCTTAGAGGCTTAGGCGCTTAGAGGCTTAGGCGCTTAGAGGCTTAGGCGCTTAGAGGCTTAGGCGCTCAGCGGCTTCGCCGCCTAGCAGCTTCGGCGCTTAGCGGCTTAGCGGCTTAGGCGCTTAGAGGCTTAGGCGCTTGGAGGCTTAGGCGCTAGAGGCTTAGGCGCTTAGAGGCTTAGGCGCTTAGCGCTTAGGTGCTTAGAGGTTTAGGCGCTTAGAGGCTTAGGCGCTCAGCGGCTTCGGCGCCTAGCAGCTTTGGCGCTTAGCGGCTTAGCGGCTTAGGCGCTTAGAGGCTTAGGCGCTTGGAGGCTTAGGCGCTAGAGGCTTAGGCGCTTAGAGGCTTAGGCGCTTGGAGGCAAAGGCGCTTAGAGCTTAGTGGCTGACCAAGTGCTAAAGGTTTAAGCGGGAATCCACCGGATTTCCGTCTAATCTCCCTCCAGCACCTCTAAGCCTCTAAGCCCTGTAAGTCTTCCAGCCGCCACGCCCCTAAGCCTCTAAGTCTCCAAGTCTGTAAGCTTCTAAGCATTTCAGCCTCTGAGCCTGCACGCCCCAAAGCCTTTAAACCTCTAGGTCCGTAAGCCTGCACGCTCCTAAGCCTCTAAGCCTCTAAGCCTCTAATTAAGCCATCCAGCCTCCACGCTCCTAAGCCTCTAAGCCTCTAAGTCTTCCAGCCGCCACGCCCCTAAGCCTCTAAGTCTCCAAGCCTGTCAGCTTCTAAGCCTTTCAGCCGCTGAGCCTGCACGCCCCAAAGCCTTTAAACCTCTAGGTCCGTAAGCCTGCACGCTCCTAAGCCTCTAAGCCTCTAAGCCTCTAATTAAGCCATCCAGCCTCCACGCTCCTAAGCCTCTAAGCCTCTAAGCCTAAAGCCGCCACGCCCCTAAGCCTCTAAGTCTCCAAGCCTGTCAGCTTCTAAGCCTTTCAGCCTCTGAGCCTGCACGCCCCAAAGCCTTTAAACCTCTAGGTCCGTAAGCCTGCACGCTCCTATGCCTCTAAGCCTCTAAGGTTTTAAGCCTCTTATTAAGCCATCCAGCCTCCACGCTCCTAAGCCTCTAAGCCTCTAAGTCTTCCAGCCGCCACGCCCCTAAGCCTCTAAGCCTGTAAGCTTCTAAGCCTTTCAGCCGCTAAGCCTGCACGCCCCAAAGCCTTTAAACCTCTAGGTCCGCAAGCCTGCACGCTCCTAAGCCTCTAAGCCTCTAAGTCTTCCAGCCGCCACGCCCCTAAGCCTCTAAGTCTCCAAGCCTGTCAGCTTTCAGCCGCTGAGCCTGCACGCCCCAAAGCCTTTAAACCTCTAGGTCCGTAAGCCTGCACGCTCCTAAGCCTCTCAGCCTCTAAGCCTCTAAGCCTCTAATTAAGCCATCCAGCCTCCACGCTCCTAAGCCTCTAAGCCTCTAAGTCTTCCAGCCGCCACGCCCCTAAGCCTCTAAGTCTCCAAGCCTGTCAGCTTCTAAGCCTTTCAGCCGCTGAGCCTGCACGCCCCAAAGCCTTTAAACCTCTAGGTCCGTAAGCCTGCACGCTTCTAAGCCTCTTAGCCTCTAAGCCTCTAAGTCTTCCAGCCGCCACGCCCTTAAGCCTCTAAGTCTCCAAGCCTGTCAGCTTCTAAGCCTTTCAGCCTCTGAGCCTGCACGCCCCAAGGCCTTTAAACCTCTAGGTCCGTAAACCTGCACGCTCCTAAGCCTCTAAGCCTCTAAGCCCTGTAAGCTTCTAAGCCATCCAGCCTCCACGCTCCTAAGCCTCTAAGCCTCTAAGTCTTCCAGCCGCCACGCCCCTAAGCCTCTAAGCCTGTAAGCTTCTAAGCCTTTCAGCCTCTGAGCCTGCACGCCCCAAAGCCTTTAAACCTCTAGGTCCGTAAGCCTGCACGCTCCTATGCCTCTAAGCCTCTAAGCCTCTAAGCCTCTAAGCCTCTAAGCCATTAAGCCATCCAGCCTCCACGCTCCCAAGCCTCTAAGCCTCTAAGTCTTCCAGCCGCCACGCCCCTAAGCCTCTAAGCCTCCAAGCCTGTCAGCTTCTAAGCCTTTCAGCCGCTGAGCCTGCACGCCCCAAAGCCTTTAAACCTCTAGGTCCGTAAGCCTGCACGCTCCTAAGCCTCTTCTACGCCATCCAGCCTCCACGCTCCTAAGCCTCTAAGCCTCTGAGTCTTCCAGCCGCCACGCCCCTTCTAAGCCTTTCAGCCTTTCAGCCGCTGAGCCTGCACGCCCCAAAGCCTTTAAACCTCTAGGTCCGTAAGCCTGCGCGCTCCTAAGCCTCTAAGCCTCTAAGCCTCTAAGCCTCTAAGCCTCTAAGCCTCTAAGCCTCTAATTAAGCCATCCAGCCTCCACGCTCCTAAGCCTCTAAGCCTCTAAGTCTTCCAGCCGCCACGCTGCTTGGAGGCTTAGGCGCTTAGAGGCTCAGGCGCTTAGTCGCTTTGGCGCTTAGAGGCTTGGCTTAGAGGCTTAGGCATTTGGAATAGGGGCTTGGGCGCTTAGGCGCTTTGAGGCTTAGGCGCTTGGAATAGGCGCTTAGACGCTTAGAGGCTTCGTAGAGGCCCAAGTCGCAAGCCTCCACGCTTCCACGCCTCTCAGCCTCTAAGCGGGCGCTGGGAGCAGAGGCTTATAAGCTTAGGCGCTTAGAGGCTTAGAGGCTTGCGCGGCTGTTGATTAGTAGTAAGAGGCTTGGGCGCTTAGAGGCTTAGAGGCTTAGAGGCTGGTGTTGAAATAGGCAGACCCCTTCTCCCAATACAATGAAACGGGCTTCCCAAAGACTATCCCTTCCATATTTTATATATAGGGTAATTCCCGTGTATCCCAACAACCGACTGATCCCACAACCCCAACTAGGTCCTCCAGTAGAGAGGTTAGAATAAGGGTAGGGTACCAACTTTTTTTCTGTAGTCTATTTCAGTAGGGGAACCCTCCCCCAAAAAAAGAAACGGTAAAAAGGGCACCAATTGCTGGGGGACCTAGCTAAGCACCACCTAAGTATCCCAACCCCGAGTCCATATTCTATAGGGTAATTCCCTCGTACCCCAACCCCGAGTCCATATTTTATCGGGCAATTCCCCGCCCCATGTAAGACTCACTTGCACAAAGGACCTGGAAATACAAGGTTAACCTTTTGGGCTCATGACTAAAAATAGACCAACCCCAGAAAACCAAAAGGTCAAAAGGTCGGCTCTGGGCAAGTGAAAAAAAAGGGGATTCCCTTGTAAGTATCCCACCCCTTGTGATCCCACAAGCCTAAGCACCCCCCTAAAAACTTGGCGGAAAAATCGGACCCTAGCAAACAATATCTTTTTTGCCTGGTTAGTGGAAAACAACGGGAACACCAAAAAAGCAAAAAAAAAAAAAAGAAAAAAAAGAGAAGAAGGGGAACTATTTTTTCTGGGGAAGAGAAATGCGGGCGCAGCGTCGTGTAGCCCACTCTGGCCATGTAGCTCTGGCAGTTGGCATTCGTCTCAATTTCCTCAATCTCCGAGGCCTCCAACGTGTTTACCCAGGATGGGGGCCTCGGCGTAAGACTGGATTCGGGATTCGGGTCGTAGGCAACCTGCGCTTTTCGCTTTTGGAAACCCGCCGGAAAAGAAAAAAAAAGGCCATACCAAGATGGGTTCCACTGGTTTAGGTTGGTCTTATCTACCATGTATTTTTGCTTCGCCAGGCCGCCGATGTTGTTTTCAAAAGGTCACCCACTGTGGATGGTTGTGAAGTCCAGTTTGCGCCATGGTTGAAACAATGGTTGAAACCATGGTTTGTTGTAATTGTTTGCATTTACAGGGAAATCAAATCATTCCATGTTTTGTTTTTAGGTGGTGCACGAATTCGTCTATCCACAATAGCTTCAGTAGCGTCTTTTACAGCAGCAGGGGGAAAAACAAAAACCTGTGATCCTGACATAGTTTTATTTTGAGATACACCCGGATACACCACATCCATGTTCTAAATTGTTTAGGCCCTTCCGTTCCCCTTCCCGTGTCCGCCCTACCAACAAAAGATAAAACAACTGGAAGACAATTTGGGTAAGAACTTTCCGGCTCCATGATTCTTCTTGCGAGTGACCCAAAGCTCCAGTCCCCATGGCATTTGTGGTTTGAATCCAACAAGGGGAAAATACAAATAAATCAACACACAAATGAGTGTTTTTATATATATATATCTATATAGAAATATACAGGAGTCATTTCAGCAAATGGATGTAAACCTCCCGCCCACGTTGCCATAGAACCTGTTTGGGTGGTTTGGAAGGCAGCCTCCCCACCCTTCCTGACCACACCCACCGCTCCAATCACCACCGCCTCCTTTTGCCATGAAGTATTTGGAGGGTGCCCCTGCTTGATTGGTTTTAAAAGGAAACCGAAAGGGACAACTGCCATGGGGAGCCCTTAAACAGACACGAACATATGGTTGTGTCATCGCGAAAAAACACATCGATGGTCTTCCTGTTAGCGTCCCTCCAAAAAGCAGAATCCCCTTGTCAAGAGCTCGCAGGGTGCCACCACAACATAGAAACCACTAAAGGGTTTCGGAAAGGATTGAGTTGAACCTCGCACTAAAAAACAAAGAAAAAACAAGTTAAGGAGGCAACAACAAAACAACCCTGAAACTCTGCTGGAAAACACACACGTGTGGAGAAACATTGCGTCATCTTGCCTGTGAACTCTTTGAGGCGTCCATGCCACTGGGTGGTCCAAATGACATCCAAAAGATGATTTACTTGTAAAACATGATGCATGCCGTCATTTCTGAAAAGTGAAAAGAACGGTTTTATCATTATTTTCCGCTAAACCGCTTCAAGACCAACAACAAATGGGCACCCTCACTTCCATTTGCTTCTTTGCCCCTGGAAAAATGAGAGCACATGTCCAGTAGTGATAGGTTATCTTTCAAATCAAGAAAAATAACAAGAAATACCATATCTTTTTTCTTCAGCAAATGGAAGTCGCCTACCCAAAAAGAAAAGAGCCATCCTCAAAAACAACTGAAGTGGAAAAACATATTCTCTTCCGCTGGAAGACACCTAAGAAAGGGTAGCCCAACCAAAAGGCACCACCCCTCTGAAAATCGACCCCGTTCCAATCGCGCCGAGTCGCATCAGCTCCTCACTGGGGCGCTGGCTCGCTTTGGCGAAGTCCGCGAAGGAGTCGGCATCAACGCCCAAGAGCCGCGCCGCATCCTGGCCCAGGTCTGACAGTGGGGACTCACTTGCCCAAAGGACCCAGAAACAAAAGGGTTTTTACTTTTTGGGGCCATGACTAAAAATTGACCAAAACTGGAAAACCAAAAGGTTAAAAAGGTCGGCTTTGGGCAACTGACGGGGGGGTTGGGGGCGGAATGGGGGGGGAATTGGGGGGGGAAATTGGGGGGGTTGTTTGGGTGGGATTAAAAAGACTGGCGCTTTAAGGTTGGACACCCCAACAAATGGCGGTTTCCTTTGGGTGACCCTGAACAAATGGCGCCTGTTTGGTTGGTTGAGGATTTTAGAGAAGCCATCGAACAAAAGGTGAAAAAGACTTGGTGCCAACGAACCACTGGGAAGGACATTCAAAAAGACAAAATGTTTTTTGGTGTGATTCAAAATCAACTAAGTCATGATCAGGACGAGCCAAATAGGTGTGGTGCCTTTTCAGGTTGGCTTTAATGGAAACCATAGACAACCATTGTGGGGCCCCGCATGTTGATACATGTTGACAAAACAGTGACAGCTTGTGATATCCAACCACGGAACTGTCCAGAAGCGACATGCATCATATGCTCACCGAGCAAAAGTTGATAGCAGCGCAAATGATCGGGAGATCAAAGGGGTGACATCGCAATGGCACTTCCAAGTTGTCACAATCAGGGACTGGTAAGGTTTATGTTGCACTCAGAACCATAAGCTGAAACTCCACCAAACTCGCAGCGCAGGACCTGATAATCTGTGCGGCTGGGGGAAGTTCCAGGTTCAGAGTGGGAGTGGTTGGGTTGCTGTGTTCAAATCTGTGTGCTCAAATGGGTATGGGTCAAAATTGAACCACCAGGCGACCACAGGTTTTAGTCCATGTTTTATGTACCAGGATTCCATTTTTGGGTACATATTCACAGCCAAATCGCAGCTTGACTGCGCACCATTCTTTGTCACCTGTCCTGCGCAAAGGACACGGTGTCCTCCGTCCAGTTCTCATAGACTCCAAGCAGCACTCTGTTGCCAGCCACGGCAGCCAGGTCAGGCAAGGATAGAGCCTCTTGCCGAAGTTGTCAGCAAAAATGCCGCAAAACGATCTTTCAAATCTTTAAAGCTGGCACTTAAATGGCTGTCAAAACTAGGCATTTGGGGGCAGTGCGAAAGGGAAGCAACAACCACTCAAGTAGATGATGCTACAGCCATAATATGTCAATCTGGGAACTTTAGGATAAAGGGCCCCCTCCCATCCCCTCCCCTCCTCCTCCCGCTCCCTCCCCCGTTGACGCCTTGTAGAACTCCACTGGGAGGCAAAATGACCGCCCCGCCCAATCTCAGACAAGCACATCCCTACCGCGCCCCACATAGACATGCCTCAAAACGGTCCTAAATCTGTCAAAAACTGTGGACCTTGACTCTCTTCCCTCCTTTGTCTGGTTTCTCACTAGGGAAATGCAGTAAAGGAAGGGGTACCATGACTCGTGTGACCGAGAAATCTTGGTTACACAGAGAGTCTAGAAGCATGGAACAAAACACCAAGGCCCCCTGTCAGCCGCTTTTTATGGGTGTTGGAGGCGTGGATGCCCAGATTTGCCGCCCATACAAGCAAGAAATTGCAGGATATGCCCTGTATAAGATAAGTAAATAAATAACTTGACTCTACCTCCATAATCGATCCCTGAAAAACACCGTAACAAGCCCTTGACGTTTTGGGAAGGTTGAACCTAGAGGTCGGTTAGCGGCTTGTCATACTTTTGACACGTGGAAAACAACACTTCAAATGCAATTCCTCCGTCCACTAACTTTTCATTCAAGAGAGGGCGTTATGTGGCACATGAAAATCCTGGCAAGGGCGAGGTCTTAGAACCCGCAGCACTCATCACTCGGAGTCGGCAAGCAGGCACTCAGAATGCCTAAGCCATTCAACAGTCAGAGGTCACAACCAACATGACTGCCCTGTATGTTAGTAGTACTATCCATGCAACATGACTGCCGGCAATTTGCTTTCGGCATGTCCGAGCCACCCGGGTGTTGGGAAAGGTATCTCTCGCAAAACCCCGCCTGTAGCGCGAGCAGCTGGCAAACGAGGTCAATGTGGTGGATGGCCCATGAGGTGTAGGGCTTGGTGGAGGCCCAAACCCCCCGCGGATCACGCAGCAACACAATGAACCGCGAAGAGTCGACATACCTCGGGGCATCGGAGGATGAGTCGGTCGGTCCGGAGGGATTTAAAATCTGCGGATGGCTGCGAAATCCATTTCGCAGCACCTAAGAAACCCAACGGAATGATGATTCACCTGCAAATACCAGCAACAATGGTTTCCCATGGTTTCAAAGTGGTGCAGGATTTTGTCATCCACAGTAGGGCCCTCCTTTTTGGTTTCTTCGATGCTAGAAGGAGAAGAAAAGGAAACCATTTTTGTTTTGCTGGAGGGCAGCATTTATTGAACAACACACACACACATATGAGCCCATGGGCATTCTGAAATCCCATTAACTCAGCGCTTGGTAACGGTGAAATAACGAACAATCCAAGGTTCATGCCAGGGCATCATAAGCATATACATTGAGCCTTGAAAAGGGTAAGGCGCAAGCTGCAAACATGGACTCCTCACTTCCGATTGGTCAAGTCAAAACTTTTGGGGACCACATTGTCTTCCCACAAAGTTTCAACTCCAGGAACTCAGAGAGTGAGTATTGTTTTTTTTTTCACATATACGTGCGTTCGATGAATTCACATCCTGCAACCTGATACGACCGTTTACAAATGGTTGTGGAGGTGAACAATCATTTCCATTGAAACGACCCCTTCTAGGCGGGTTGCTTGAGCGTGAATGCTTGTCTTCGCTTATGAGGCTGACTGCTGCCTATCTTAAACATATTTTATGTGCATGCGAATTGCTTGACAAGCAACGCAGGAGTTCATGCCAACCCTTCGCTGTGCAAAACTTGACAGCGCAAACCTTCGGCAAAACATTTTCTGCATGAACAAGGCACGAGTTTGTATCCGCATTTTGCAATGTGGCATTCAATCAACGCCAAAGGCTTCTTCGGGCCGTCTTTTGTACCAACAGCGCAGGAGTTGGTACAAGCATTTCACTGGGTGGCTACTTTCGTGCGAAGAGTACAGGCGGAACTTCGTACGATCTTCTTGACGGGCGGCAACGTTCGTGCGACCAGAGCGGGAGTTCGCAGTTCGCACGAACTTTTACAACGCAACATCCACTTTTGAACATGCATACGCCCGCAGACCAAACGCCGATTGCTCAATGCGATGTTTTGCTGGTTTCGTGTGTTGCTGCTCTTATTGAAATGAGCAGCAGATGTGCGTGCTTTCGAGCTGTTGTGACCATTTTGTCCTCCGCATCTTTCTTTGGAGGGCAGACAAAGCAATAATTTGACCGGACACTTGAGGGACATGAAACGAGCTGCAAGAAGCAGCTCAAAACATAAATCAAGACACGCTTATCCAAGTGAGCAGTATTGACTGACACGAGCGCGAGGTTTTGGCTTGATCTGGGCTAGCGGCTGGCTGGAGGTCCCCCAGCCCCTTCCATTTGTCCATGGCGTGCAAGCTGCGAGAATTGGGTGGGTCTGGAAAGCTCCCAGAAACAAGTGATGCGCCCCCCACTGGTCAAAAGGAAACATCGAAGTTTGCCTACAAATCAGCTACTATTCAAGGGGTTGATTCCTTTTCCATTCTTGTCAACCACCGTTCTTTGCGAACTCCAGCCGTTTTCCCTGGCTTGCCGGAGGTTTTCTAGAAAGAAGGATTTTTGAATGGGGAAGGTACCCCTAGAACTATTGTCGGCCATTCCCTGAGGGAACATCCTTTGATTGCTAAGGACAGGCGCCGGCCCAAAATGTGTCCCTCGCCAAGAGGTAAGCCGCAACAGCCTGAAATTCCCGAGGCACTATGTGGTGCTTCCCTCTCTGGCATTTGGGTTCTATGAAACTCCTGGTTGACGTTGAAATGGGAGCAACAAATCAATTATTTTATCACTTAAGTGGATTTGGAGTTCAACCACTAAACCACAAGAAGCAAAAATGTGGAAAATGACCGTGGCTCAAAAAACCGGTACCCAAAATGGAACCCTGGTAAGTGGAAACATGGGACCAAAACCCGCGTAACCCCTCCTGTGTTTCCCGTTGCAACAACCATGTACTGGGCTTCGGGCCCCCGCTCTTTATAAATGCCGAAGAGATGTCGACCGCTCACCCCATGCCCCGTTCAACCTGAAGATATCACTTAGCATTTTCCGGTGGATCACATGACAAACACAACACGCACAATTGAGCCGATAAGCAAACATGTAATTAGGGTGACTCAAGTACCATTGGCGCGAAGAAGCTTTGCAAATTCCCGAGAGGAAACAAACCATAACGAACAGTTAGCCCATGAACTACAAGGCATGTTCAGATCCTAGAATAGCTGCAATATATCTGAATCTTTGCGCCTCGATTGACACCCGCATTGATTTATCTGCACATTCTGCATGAAATGCAACGGCACTTAAAACATGTATAGTACACATAGCACTGCAACAAGATCTAACAACCTGACACGGAAGATTGGAAATACAAACCTTCGACGCAGCCCAACTGCTGAGCAAGGAACGACTGGGGCAAGGCACGACTGATGGCAGCATGGTCTACGATGCGGGTGGTCTTCACAACCAAATAGGGCAAACTCGACTCCGAGTCATCTGCATCCTCATCGCTTGCGCGTGTCTATTGCATAAGCCAAGGCAAAACATCACCACAAGAACTGGCCCTCAAGCAATCCACCCAACAAAACCCTCGAACCATCGGATATTGTCGCCCATAACTTGCCCAAAGTGCCGGGAAACCACTGTTCATAGCTTCGGATAGTCGGCAGCGAATTTGCGCATGTGACACCTACACGAAATGGAGAGCGCGGGAAAGCGCTACAAGGGGATCCCTTCATGTTTCAAATCTGTCGGCACCTCTCATGCTCACGTGGCTCCCTGCGGAAAACGCATGGCGGTAAGCAACTGACGCAAAGCACTGACTGAGCCCTTCCATTTTGGGCTTCGGAGCAATCCCCCGGGTCAAACCTCACCCAAAATTTAAAAAATAAATAACATAAAAATAAATAAACACACACCAGCTCCTCCAGGCCGAACTCAGCTCGGGGAACAGGCCACTCTCTGGCCGTCCTTTCCAACTGAAATTATTTCCCAAAAAGGATCTTTTTTGGGATGGCTGGAAGCAAGAGAAAACGACCATCCCCCTCACCCAAGGAAATGCAATCACAAATGAAATTTCAGGACTATTGGCGTCACCATGCGTCACCCAAAAAAAAGAAAACTGCATGGTGTCGCTTATATTCGCGAGCCCCCAACTTTTGTTGACCTACTGAACACATCGCCAGTATCCCAGTATTCAAATCGGGCTTCATTCATCCAAGATGCGGTTCCCGCCGCCCAGTTGCCGCGTTTTTGAGTCACGGTTGCCTTTTTTTCTGGTAAAATGTGGATGGACTTTTTCACGCGATCGCAACTGGATCGATCCAGGCGGTTTGTTGCAGTCCTGGCAGAACTGCTGGAGCTCTTCCAGGCTGTCCTGAAGGCCATGCCATGGGATGGTGATGTGAGGGGCAAAACGAGGGGGTGGGGCCAAAAAAGGGTTAGGTGTACAAGGCGCCCTTTTGCACACCCTGGAAGTTACCTTTCTCAAAATGGGTATATGAGCCAGCGTCAGTACTTGCTGTGTGGGGTGTATTCATTATACTTGTAGTGAGTGTCCTACCTCTTCTTTTTTACGTTTTGTGCGTGCGTGCAGTGCCCGATGAACCCTCTGGAGGGATCGCGCGCCTCGAAGCGCTCTCGCTGTGGCGCCGTGCGAATGCGTAAAGTGCCCACCCAACCCTCTGCGAGGATTGCGCGTGTCAAAGCGCCCTCGCTGTGACGCTGCGCGAATTTGAAAAGTGCCCGCCGAACCCTCTGCAGGGATCCTGCGTGCCCAAGCGCTCTCGCTGTGGCGCCGTGCGAATTCGTAATGTGCCCAACGAACCCTCTGCGAGGATTGCGTGTCAAAGCGCCCTCGCTGTGACGCCGTGCGAAGTTGAAAAGTGCCGGACGAACCCTCTGCAGGGATCCTGCGTGCCCAAGCGCTCTCGCTGTGGCGCCGTGCGAATTCGTAGCGTGCCCAACAAACTTTCTACGCAAACACAGCATTGGCATCGTAACCACATGGTAGTCTTTCGAACACGAAGCGCTCTTCCCCATTGCGGGCCCTTTCTGTGAAGGATGTGTGCTTGTCTTTTGTAAGCAAATGCACTAGGCCTCATTGGCAACTCCGGGACATTGCAGGGGTATCGATGGGGTATCGACAGGGGTATCGTTCTGGGCGTGTGTCAAGTTGCGGAAAACTTTCTCATTTTGCCACAAGCTATTAGAGCCAAGCAAGCACACAATAGCCTTCTCTGCCTTGCGGTAGTCATGTGAGCCGCTCACGCCGCTCAACGCCCCACATTGCTTGCAAGCAGAATGACACCTGAGACGTGAATGAATGCATCATGTTCACAAACCATGTTCAGATCGGTATCCTTTTTAGTGAGTCCCCTATCGTTCTCGAAGGAAAATGCAAAAAATGCAGTCTTGTATGAAACGCTGTTGATAAATGGTCTTTGATAATTCTGAAGTTGACTCATATACTAGCTTACTCTTTCCGCAAAGAACACACCGCCTTCTGAATCCGCCGCGCAACCTAGCTGGTTCCTTCAAAGGGAGAAACATCGCGGCGAAGTGCGGCGAAGTGCGGTGAAGCGCTGTTTGTTCTCCTCGGTGCTTAGCGTGTTCAGCTGTACTTAAGGTCTTCAAGTCTTCCCTCCCGTGTTTGCGGTAGTCGCGTAGGCTTCCAGCAGGAATTGTCCGTGGCATTTCTGCTGACGACGTTTATTGGGCCAAAGGCTTGCCAGGTGCCCGCATTGAAGTGGCTATCGGTTGGTGAACAGATGTTTGTCGGTCAGGTCGACCGCCGGTGACTTTTCGAAAACGTGTCCCTGGTCGAAGACTGGGCCGATCTATGATCCTGTCCAGTCCTCCTTGTCGGCTGCAGTTGATTTACACTTGCCACAAGAGCACAAGAGCAGAAGCTGCCTTTTCACTATCCTTGTCTAGACAATCCATCATAGGTATCGCCCGTGCCTTACGGGACAACTCTAGAACTTAAGGGACTTGCTTTGCATAACAGCGAGGCACGCTTGGCTCCATCCCCCAAAATGGCAATCGGAGCCACCAAATCGGATCAACAAAAATGGCTCAACAAAAAACACTCCGCAAGAAATTGGCGTCTCTTTCTTGAATGTACCCTATCCCCAAATGACTATTCCAACTGTGCAATTCCAATCTACGGGACCACGCCCAGCCAGATTCGAGTTGGGAGCCGGCAAGCCCGCCTTCCTCACCTCCGAGCCGGTGCAGTTGTGGCAGTCGTAGAGGCATTGCAGTGCCGCATCCGTGCTGCTTTGGGAGTGGCCTCACTCGAATCGAAGTTCAATCGAACTGAGCTGCGGGCAAAGTTACCTTCCCCATCCCAACACCTTGAAGGTTTTGGGGGGCCCTTGTTTTGGGGCCCGGACAATGAAATGAGGCCTTCTTTTCCATTACCATAGCCTGAGGGGTGGTTGAATTTGCGCCTCAAGGTGGTGTCTAAGGGGTGGTTCTGCGTATCCATCACTGTAAGCAAGCATCCTACATGCATGGAGCCCGTGGCATCCTGACAGAGCCAACCCCGATGTATCCATAAACAATGAGTTTTTAAACCTGGGATGTTGTTCAAAATGGTTCGTGTTGGCCAATCCGATTTTCCATAATCACTTCCCCTTATTCGCCTCGGCCCCCACTCTTTTCCAGAGTTTTCCTTCCACCCAAAATTTCTGAAGAAGTACAGCCTCAACCTGAGACTAGACTCACATGTCTGAAACTAGCCTCGGGCCCAGGGCCCAGCCCAACCAGCAAGAAGCCAAGCGAGGCTCAGCCCTGCACCAACCAACCCAAGCAAGGCCCAGCCCAGCCCGCCATGTCTGCTGGTTCAATGACTCACTCCCGGTCCTGTGCATCGCCTTGCCCTTGCCTCGGGGCTTTTTGCGGGCCCATGACATCAATCGGTCCAGCAAAGCAGTATTCCAAAAAGTCTGCTCAGGAAGAAGTGGTTGCAATACTAAAGTAGGATTCTACAAAGGAAGTGGCTGCAATACGAAAGTAGAATTGGCCCCCAAGAAATCCTCCATTGCTTGGACGTCCCAAAGGTGAGCCTACAGAATTATATTGCCTCCATTGTTTGGGGGGGGGGCCGTCTATTAATCAAGCTCCAACATTATTTGAAACGTGCAGTCTTGGGAATGCCTCGCCCTGTACGCGAAGGACGCGCGTGCCCGGGAGGGAGGCTGCATCACGTAACTCACGGCATCCGCCAAGCTCAAGCCATTCTGTCTGATTTTATTGTGTACAAGCCAGCCCCGAAGGACGTGAGGACGATGTCCAAGAGTGCTGCACTGCGCTGAAACACGTTCCACTCGGCCCCAGACGCCAGAACCTGTCCATGCCTGAATCGCCACTGCTTGCAGTCGAACCACAGACGCTGCGCGCTCGGCGTTTACAACAATAAAGGATCAACTTTTCTTTTGAGAATCCCAAAGCCGGGAAGACTACTTTTGGATAGGCCACAATACTAAACCAACGGTCCTGCTCGTGCTCAAAACCAGCCCTATTACGGGACCCTTTTGTTCGGGCCGGAGCTCCGAGAGTGCGTTTCCTTTGCTATGTGTGCCCTCAACCAGCTTGTGATTAGCGGGGGGCCGTTGAATTATTAGAGGGACAGGACAGGATTAATCCCTATCAAGCCACCATACAAAGGGGACCAAACCCTTGCGCAACCCAAGGTAAGCATTCAGATTGCCCTTGAACAGCCCAGTTAACCCTGGATTGCTTTCTTGTTGGAACAAGCGCCGCTCAGCCCATCAATCCCGAAGAATTCATCGGACATCTGGTTGCTACAAAAAAGGGGTCTGGAATCCGCCAAGCTGTCAGAGCCTCACCCCAAACAAAAGGCGAAGTTCTTCACACGCGGAAAGCCGAAGAAACATTTCGGCGCCGACTCCGTTTTTCTCTCTACGCCAAGGCCCGGGCGAGGGATCTGGGAGCCCTCTACGAGGCCCCCCAAAGGCTCGAAGATGGAGGCGTGGCTCGTGTTCTTCAACAAGTCCATGACCCAACCTCGTCGGGCCCCCACTTCAGAGAGTGAGAACTTTGTGCCGCGAGCTAGGAACACAACCAAATGCGGCCCCAGATGACACAAAAACACGTCATTCTTAGAGGGAACGCCTTTTGGACAAAAATCGCCTGCAGGCCGTGTTTTCCCACATGCCTTAGGATAATGGACAGAAGCCCAGCACCCGCAAAAAGCCATCACCTTACAACCCAAGCGCGGAAGAGTCGCAGGAGGCCTCCCGGCCCATGGACAGCACATGCACCAGCTTCACCGGCTCGGTCTGGCCATCGAGTCTTGGTTTTGGTGGATCAAGGCCATTTGTGTTTTGTTTCATGTTTTGTTCTTCTTCGTTTTGTGCTTCTTTTTTGTTTCGCCCGCCAGAAAAACAAAACAAACATATTTATCTAGTAGTGATAGATTTCCTTTAACAACCGACACGGGGACATCACAGATATTGGAAGCCTAACGACGTGCTTGTTCGATTGGCGATGGAGTAAACATGTAAATGTTTAAAATGCGCATTGGGGGTTGTTTTTTCCACACATTGAAAACTCTGCAATGAAGCCTGCCTCAAGCGTCCCCCGGAGGTGGACCGCGATGGACAGCGACAAGTGCAGGAGCAGCAGGAGGCGCATGGCGAATTTGTACTAATATCGGACGGAGGGGAAACGTGTAAGCTGGAAAATCCGCGGAATATATTTAAGATCTTGGCGCAGCTTCGTTCGATTGGACGACTGTTTGGTGAATCCTGAGCGGCTTAACCCCAGGTCCCCATGATTGGACAAAGTGCCCCGTGGGATTGATCAAGTCCTTTCAGGGAAAAAAGTCACAACCATCGTTGGCGCAAAGTGGTAGGAAGGGTTCAGCAGTGTCGCGTGAAGCAAGGGATGTACCTGGTGAATGGGGTGCTGCAAGCACGGAAAGACACGGTTTCCGACAGGCAGCCGGATGAGGAAATCCTGCTTTTTCAGGATTCCACCGGAATACTCACAGGCCCGGCGTGTATGGCAAACCAGGTACCTTTGTTTGCTTGATGTTCAAAGAAAACCCTGGATGCAAAGAAAAGGGCAAAAAGAAGCAATATGAACATTGTGGGTGTCTGTGAATTTCTTTCTCCTCGCGAATTGCCAGGCATATTGCCCCAATGCAAACCTCCAGTCCCTATGGAGAAGCTTCCCCCCGCCCCCCGCCCCCACCCCCCCCAAAAAAAAACAAACAAACAAACAAACAAACAAACAAACACACACAAACACAACAACAACAACAACAACAACAACAACAACAACAACAACAACAACAACAACAACAACAACAACCAACAACCAACAACCAACAACCAACAACCAACAACCAACAACCAACAACCAACAAACAACAAACAACAAACAACAAACAACAAACAACAAACAACAAACAACAAACAACAAACAACAAACAAACAAACAAACAACAAACAACAAACAACAAACAACAAACAACAAACAACAAACAACAAATAACAAACAACAAACAACAAACAACAAACAACAAACAACAAACAACAAACAACAAACAACAAACAACAAACAACAAACAACAAACAACAAACAACAAACAACAAACAAAAAAAAACAAACAACAAACAACAAACAAAAAACAACAAACAACAAACAACAAACAACAAACAACAAACAACAAACAACAAACAACAAACAACAAACAACAAACAACAAACAACAAACAACAAACAACAAACAACAAACAACAAACAACCAAAAACCAACAACCAACAACCAACAACCAACAACCAACAACCAACAACCAACAACCAACAACCAACAACCAACAACCAACAACCAACAACCAACAACCAACAACCAACAACCAACAACCAACAACCAACAACCAACAACCAACAACCAAACACCAACAACCAACAACCAACAACCAACAACCAACAACCAACAACCAACAAC